CATGTTGCTTCGGTACCAGTCCCTCTTCCACCTTGCCACTTCACAATTATAACTTACAAATGTTTTCTCAAAAATGAAAGAAACAATGAAAAATTAATGAAAATGAAGGTGAAGATACTGTATATGCGAAGGTCTTCTTTTTGCTATTTATAATTTGTCCGTTTCATATTGTCCCAATATCTAAATGACTCTTTCTCCAATTGCCCCTCTCTTAATGACTCTCTCAAATTGTCAAGTCTCGAATTTTCTGTCTCAAATCGTCCGTATCCCATCCCGGACCCGGAGAGATGTCCTCTTTGAGGGTATCAATCGACTGATGATAAAATGTTTAAAAAATTTCTAAAACAACTCAAGTCATACCTTCGGAATCTTGGTTAGACTCAAGAGGTGGCTGAAGCATTCCATCACGCTGAATCTTCAAGTAAAATCGATAAGCTCGACCGATTCCATAACCACAGGACGACGTAACCAAGGTTAACAAGACGATCAACACCGGGTGCTGCAAAGATTAATTCAAAAAGTGAAACACCACGACAAGCGAAAGAATAACCTTTGAGTTGAAAATCACTATTTAGAATCAAATAGAAATGAAAAATAACTTCCTGCGTCAGCAGATAGCCTTCTTTCGCTAAAAAAAAATAACCCCTCGGAGGAACGATTTCCCGGAAAATTCATAAGACCTTATTACTCGGTGAATATTCGGAACTAAATTCACGGAAACGAGGAAACGAAATACGGGGTTCCGTTATACAATAAAACCCCAAGGATTGTGCTCATTTCACCTGTTGTTATCTTTTTATAAATTTAGTGAACCGTGCTCAAGCACTTGAAAATGGTTTTCGACGATTTCTTCACGATTTTGCGCTCCAAATGTCAACAAACTAAATTAATATTTTGAGTTTGCCGTGGATCTATGAACTCCAACATTCTTCCGGCTCCTCAAAGTTTTGCTCGTTTTAATCAATTTGTGGATCACAGCGTACGAAAACAGATGACAAATATTACTTTCAAGGACGGAGACGCAGCAAGAGTCCAGTCAGCAACAGCGATAATGGCCCCGAAAATCAGACCGACTCCAGTGCATAACCAAGGATCAAGTTTTTCACCTGCAGAAAGAAAACCCAAGTCATTTCACACGAAACTCATTCCTCGAAAGCAAAAAAAAAATTACAATTCTTCCATCAACTTTACTTGTCCCTGTTCAACATGGACAGGAAAAATGAGCGTGTATAAAACTCCACACACGACTTTGAGGAACAAAACAAGAAAATGATTTTGCTGTCCTCTGATATTTCATGCTGTACGTATACTGTACAAACTTTTTAAAATCGTTTACACACAAGTTTTATAAAATCTAGAAAGAAATTTTGAACGTTCCTAGAGAACTACTTTATTCACCACAACATGGTAACACATTACTGCGAAGCATCTCAGATAATCGACTTATCACTGGGTACGTAGGATCAAGTCCATTAACCGAGACACCACGACTATATTTCATGTCAAGAAAAGAAAATGGCATCAGAAATAAACACATTTTTCTCTCGAAGTGCATAACAGCTTCCGAACTGGTTAAAAACCTGTTTCCAAGCATCCCTAAAAAGTCCGTTTGTCTAATTTTTGTTACTGCTCAGTCACTATGTTAGACGACGGGTCTAAAAAATATGTTCTTGGATTCAAATTTGAACCGGTACCCGACTGACTCGAAAAGCGAATATTTTTCAGGAAAGACATTCTATTGGCACAAGAAAAAAAACATTCAGCTCTATTCAACATGCTTTTCAGAAAATGTTTGCAAAAGTCACCTGGAAAGCTTTCTGATCATTCAAAAGATGAGGCGCCCATCTCGCAGATCTATTTTTTTGCGTACCCCAGCTTTCCCGTCAGATACCTTAGAATAGCCATGGCAATAGTACCAAGGGTTGCCGCCATTTATTGATTATTAATTCCATCCTTTTCATTACCAGTCGCCACTTGGGATGAGAATGTGGCGACTGCTGATAAAAATAGCGGAATAACCTTGGAAGACCTGGCGACAACGATTGGAATTATTGCCATGTCAATTTCAAAAATTCTGAAGGAGAGAGCTGGGGTACCCAAAAATTTAAAAAAAATCAGCGAGATCGAAAAGCTGCCAGGCTAAATTTTTCACAAAATACGTCAAACAGAGATTAATTTCTTTCTTTTGCCAAAGAATGTTTTTTTTCTGGACAAAAATTCTTCTTCCGCTCAATCATACGCCATTTCAATTACTATCCCGAAAACTTTTGCCCGACCCCTCGCACAATAAAAGTTATAATCAAAGTTGACCTTTATCTCCATCAGTACCCGCTCGGAATAATAAGTGACTCACGTTGCCGGAAGGAATCCAAGGCAAGCTTGGCTTTCGTCATCGACACAAAAACCGTCCGATCATTGGGCTGCAACAAAAATGCCACTTGGTACGACAACAACGCGTCCGAAAAACGTCCCGCGGCAAATTGCACGTCTCCTCGACGACAGTAGCCAAGAGAGCATTGGGGACTCAATGCAATCGACTTTTCGGCATCCAATAACGCGTAACAGTACTGATCCGTTCGCATGTACGCCAACGAACGACTGAAATACAGACTGGGGTCTTTCTGGTTCTCTCGGATGGCCGCAGTGTATAACCTGATGGCTTCTTTGAAGTCTTCCTTTTCGAAGGATTCGTCAGCCTGCAGTCTGAGATCTTCCGCTTGCTGCTTATTTGCCATTTCGCGATCATAGGCTTATCTGCGAAGAAACCAGGGGGAAAAATCGTTGGAATGCGAGAAACGCTTTCTCAAATTCATCGATTAAATTTGGCTTCCGAAAATCACGATCCAAGCGATTGAGGGTCGTCTGTTTTCTGAGCAACGTGAAGTTTTCAAACAAGTAAACTGGGGATCGTACGAATCATGATCTGCTGAAGTGGAATAATTACTTTGGTTCATTTTCTATTTTTCCAGACAAAAGAGATACAATCGAACATCTTTTATTCGAAATTCGAACGACCACAAAAATAAATCGAGTTGGGGCCACTTCATGTTAGAGAAACTATCAATTTTCGTACCGGAAAAGGAAGAAGAATCACAGGAAATTGTAAATTGTTGATATTCTGGGTCTTGAATTGCTTTNGCTAACTCAAATGAGTCGACAGGATGCTGAAGTTGAATTTCAAGGCAAGGGTTTATGTGCCCAATTAGAGTTTCACTTCCGTCCAAAACGCATCGAATAACATTTTCTATTGCTTTTCTCTTTCCTGTGTCAATAAAACAATAGCCAAAAGGTCTCCCGAAAATTCAACGTATGGAGGTTCGGGGGGAATGCCTTCATATGGTTTCTAACGCATTGTTTCCAAGGGAATTCAGACAGGTACTTCAAAAACATTGACAATGAGGTTTGATTGATCGAATTTCAACCGTACACGACTACTGCATCAACTTAAGATTTATCATTATTTCAGGCAAGGTCGAGTGTCACTGGCACATTCGCAAACACGACTAACGTTTTCCATGGTGATTTCTCAATTTCCTGAAAAGGATTTTCAAAATTTAAACAAATAACAAATTTTAAAAGAAAAATTGGAAGAACTTTTTCCTACAATGCACGGAATTCTGACAACCCTCATTACGCTTGGAGGAAGGAAATTGCAGAGCGGAATCTTGAATGCATCCACTTTGATCATCACAAATGGCCGCGTAAATGCGCAACCACACTTTCAGTTCAAATATTGGATTCAATCCTCAGCAACCTCGCTAGACCCACAAGAGTGTTTCGGCTACTGCCAAAACTCAAATCGGCGGACAAGCGCATACGTCGAACCACTGGTTCCGAACGGATAAAGAGGATAAAAGGCGAAAAGAAGCCATAACCACTCGGCAAATTGCACTGTTCACAGAAAAGCTTTCCATTTCCCACACTTGGAACTTTTTCACTTCTGTTCCAGCAAATGTTTCAGAGCAACTTGTATCACAGGGATCATATCAGAGGCAACGAGACCACGACCGAATTTCTCAAAACTGATTTCGGCACACGAACGAATGAGCGAGCACGCTGCCAAACATGCCAACATCCCTCCGTTTTCCACACATTTTTCAGAGGCCCAGAATGCCAGCGTTGCCACGGAACCGCTGAGCAAATCGCCTTGTCCACCACAACGCCTCGGGCTTCCAGGCAAGGAACAATCGAAAGTAACGACACCGTTGGAAATTATATCTGAACGTCCTTTCCGAACAACTGTCAGCGAACCGAGATGACTCGCTAATCGAGCAACACTCGTTTGAAGCTCGGTGTCCGGGGCATCGAAAGAAGTCGGCGAAAACCCCACTGCTTTCTCCAATCGTTGAAATTCCATCGCATTCGGCGTCAGCATGCATTTCCCATACCTGAAAAAAAAAGCGTAACTCACTTCGCCGAAAATACGAGGGTTGGTTCATAAGGTTTGAGACTTTTTGAAATAGATCCAACGGAGTTTCAATCATTCAAAAATTTCATTTACTCGCATATCCCCATCATTTGACCCAACTTCATTGCTGTTCAACACACTCTACGCCTATTTAATTGCTTTTTTTCCTTGCAATAATCCAATGATCAAAACCGTGCCGAAAATCAAGTTCCCTCATTGATCGAGGTGCTCTTCGACGGCAGACATGAGCCTGACCCTGTCCACAAAACCAATCCCTTTTAGGTCGTTCTTCACCGTCAGGAACAGCCAGAGTTCACAGGGTGCCTAATGAACTAACAAAACTCAATTTTTGGCACTGTTTTGACTGGCTTTATGTTTTTATCACATAAAAAATGCCTTCGAAATCGGTGGTATATCGAACAGCGCTGAAATGAGGCCAAATGCTGAGGCTATACGCAAGTAAAAAAAAAAAAAAAATGGAATTGCTGCAACTCCGATGGACCTATTTCAAAAAGTCTCAAAACTCATGAGCCAATCCTCGTACACAAGCTCCATTCTCACCCTTTCACCAGATCCAAATGCTTCTGCAAGAGAAACAGCCCATCCCCGTCAACCACCAGCAATAATTCCTTCTTCACAACACTCGTCAGGATCTTCGGGAACAATTCATCCAGATCTGCATCCCTTCCGAGCCCAGGACCGACAACTATTGCATTCAGTCTCGAAAGCCACTCATCGAACTTTGCTTCACAACCAGGAGTGCACAAAATTGGATGAACTATGAGCTCTGGACTGTAGCTCTTGATGACCACAGCAGCTTCTGGTCTGCAGAAAACATGCGCGAGATCTGCTCCCAGTCTCAAACTCGTCATGGCTGCAAAATATGGCGCTCCAGTGTATTCCAGACTTCCTCCGACAACGCCGATCTTCCCACAGGTTCCCTTGTGATCTCGGTTCGACAATATTGGTAAGATGGATTGCAAAATCTTCCCCACTCTGCACAATTTCGTAAAAAACAATTTACACCCATTTTCAAATGAAAATTCGAAGGACTCAATGAACATTGCTACATATTTTGGACTGTCAAAATTCAAAAAGTGAACCCCGACTGGTTCTGATTTGACTAGATGAAGGAGGTAGTGGGTTATTTTCATCTGTTTACTCGCGATCAACAGAAGGTAGAATCTCTTCACACACTTTTCAATAATTTTCAGGTGAGCGAATAAAAAAAAACGCCCTTTTCAATCTTGAAATAATATTCACAGTCTCATTAAGGCAATGAAAAACACGACGCTTACTTGGGTGAAATTTCATCCGTCATCTTCAGCGAATTTGTGCGATGATCTACGCGAAGGATTTGTTTCAATCGCCGTTTCAAACAGCTTGAAAACATCACATCACTGCCTAATAAGACCAAACAATCGTGATTAAAGCATGTAAAAAAAAATCTCAAAGATCGAAATAATTCAAACGTGCGCTTTTCTTTGCTGATGAGTTTATCGACAGCGAACAGCAGGTAACAATAATGCTTCCCTCGATCACAACAAGAGTTCTGTACAAAGTCTGAATCCAACAGACAATTGAATCACAATTTGATCATCAATCTGACACACCGTGTGTCATCACAACGTCATGATCGCGTTAGAAAATTTCGTCGTAACTGCCTCACCTTGAGACGAAAACACAACTGATAGATTTTTTTCGAACACGTCACCATGAATTTTCGATGAAAAAAATAGAATATTTGGCAATGGAATTGCATGATCTGAATCATGTCAACGAGTTCCGATCATTTTGATTTCTTCATGCAAAAAAAACCTGAACTCAAAAAATGCGAGATCCTAGAAAAATCAACCCTGAGGTTTTCCAAGCGTGACACGTTTGCTGATTTGTCGGTAAAGCGAGCAGAAAACGTTTTCACGGGACGTTCTGCAGTTCCACTGGAATCGAATCGATCTAGATATTGCAGAATCTTCTAGATTCATACAACAACAAAAAAACCTAACGTCACTAACACGAAGAAATATACAACAGCGCCTATCAAGGTCAGTTGGAGCTTGGAAGTACAAGAAAAAGAAACACAGCTGACAGTTTTTCCCGAACACGTCATCACAATCGTCATCATAAATTTTCGATGAAAAAGTGAAAATTTGGCAATGAAATGACATGATTTGAATCATGCCAAACAAATTTCGATCATTTTAACTTTTCAAAAAATGCGAGATCCCCATAAAAAACTGAGGTTATCCAAGCGTGACACGTTTGCCAATTTGGCGGTAAAGCGAGCAGAAAACTTCGCACGACACGTTCTCCAGTTCCACTTCAATAAAACACAGCCCTTGTTGAAGTCAACGCATGAAGAAGAAGAAGACGATCGATCATCACTGGTACGCAAAATTGAACTTCGACAGGGACAACGGCAAGGAAGCGATCACAGGTCCGTAGCCCGGGGTATTCTCAAACAGTTCAAACAACGGAGCAGCCAACAAGTTATAATTCCCAGGCACGTGAAAACATCCTTCAGGCGGCAATTCGACCAGGATCATCCTTCGGTGCTCCTTTGGTCGAGTGATATGACTCGGCAAATACGGATACTGCGTGGGTTCAAAATGCGGACGCCACCAGTTGGCCACTACTTCGCGGATTTCGCACGGAAACGGCGCAAAAATGTGCTGCCCGTCGTCCGCGATGAAGGGTTCGCCAAATAATGTAGTCAATATTCGGTGGAGGCCTTCCGAGTCGCCTTCGCCGGGTTCCAGGGTTCCACCGGGCAGTTTGAAATACGTAGCTCCGATTTTCAGCAATAAGATATGCGGCATCTTGTGCTGATGCGTCAAAATTATCTTGAATAAAAATCCGCGAACAGTTTATCAAAACACAGATCATCACCAGCACTCGAGATATTACCAGAACAAATATCACGAATCGAACATTCATAAAAGGATCGTGCTCCTCGCACAAAACGAACCAAGTGCTGTACTGTAATATGAAACAGAAAAGTAAGCACGGGAGACGAACACACAGATTCCCTTTAAAATAAACAAATTGTGTAAATGGCAAAGATGACTGTGCTATACAGTATGTTCATTTATTACGGTAATCAAACCCCTCAATTTTAGGGACCAGCGAAAAAATTCGAGTTAGGAAGGTTTCGAGTAAAGAAAAAAAAATTTTTTTGGGAGGAAAGGAAGATTTCATGGAATTATTGTAATTGATGATATTCTGGGCCTCAAATTGCTCCCTTCATGAGTTGACAGGATGCCAGAATTGAAGGAAAACGTTCATTTGCCCCACTGCTGGTCATTCACTTCCTTTCAGAATACATATAGGTATATTCTTATCGCTTTCCTCTTTCGTGTGCAAATAAAATCATAGCCAAAAGGACTTTGGAAAATCTGAGTCACGAAGGTTTGAGGAGGAAATCCTTTGAATTAAAGAGGTTTTAAAACTATTAAAAGCATGGTTTCTAAAAGAATTAAGACAAGAACTTCGACATGGGGAGGTTCGAGTTTTCAAGGTTCAACTGCATGGATTCGTTTTTTTTTTTTTTAATCAACCTGGAAGATACGGTAATACCAAATGTATGCAAACTTAAGAGGCTATCGACTCCACTACGCACCGGAATTTCTCGAATGAAGTACTTCAAATCACAAAGGTCCTGCGGTGAATATAAAAACACCGGGATATGTCTCACAGAACGCAAAAATTATTTATAGATGAAGTTCATGAAGCGAAAACTTGAAAGAAAATAACGTAAATACATTTTCCACATATTTTCAAACATTGCACGAACTTCGATTATAACTCCGTTTATATTCAGAGAGATATTAAACTAGCAAGTACCGTAATCTCGTGTTTACTACCTCATTCATCAAGTAGGCCTAAGAAAAAACCGTTTTAAAAATACTTGCTCAGATTCCAGTCATTCATAAACTTCTGCGAGATACCGTACTCTATACTCAACAAAGCAAAGGCGTGAAGTTTCAAATCTTCGAAAAAAACTCAAAAAAAAATTAAAAAAAATCTTCTACTCACGGCTTCGACAGTTCTCCGCATTCCCATCACGGGAAACTCACGACGAAGACGACTGAACCTCTCAGTAATGGATTTGTCCCTTTCAGGAATCGCATCCTTCGTCCCGAATGTGTACTTCATCAAATTCGGCAGCGAAATCGCCCTGAAACCAACACCCGCAATGTTGATCGTTGCCAAAAACAAAAAAGGATAATCCAAGTATCCTCACCTATTATTGAGTTCCACTGATTCGGAAGCCATCAACAGTGATCAACCACCCGACAGAAAATTGAACACAAACGCAAAAAACTGCGTTCTTACAACAACAAAAAGAAACAAAGTCCGGAGATCTAGCGGAAGGCGAAGATTAGGGAAATTCAACCGGGTCGGTTTAAACAAAATAAAATCGCAACAAATTTAGAATCATCATTACCGGTATATATCATTTACCCTACCAAGCAGCATCACCAGGCGAAGAACAAAACCGAACATCTGGCCATACTTGTAAAGATCACGTCTGAACATACACGCACACACTCACAATGCTGAAATGTATTAGATAAACCATTAATGACAATGCATCTGACGGCTGCAATTTAAAAACAAACAGAAACTGTTCGAAGAAAAAGAGGCGATGCCTCAGGGAAAACTGACAACGGGGGAATGAAGGTGACCGAAAATTACGACACAACTCAAACACGCGGATTTTTTTCATCAACATAAAATCCACCCGAGGTTGGAAGAACTAATTGTGCTTTCGAAACAAGTATGCAGTATCACCATTGACTGAAAAACATTTCTCAAGTCCGCGATAAATTACTTCCTGACTGACACGGAACGAATTCACGAGACACAATAAAGCTACCCTCACAGGGAACACGGATTTCCAGATCACCTTCTAGACAAACCCTGTCGACACTTCTTTTTTCTCTCCTCTCACTCGATAAACCGACTAAAACGAGCACCGCAATGGAATGCACCAATGAGATCTTGCATCAATTGCTTCCTTTGCGAAAATGAGATCCTCAAGTTTTCAAACCGACGAGCTTTTCCCGAACACAGATCACTGATTAAAAAACGAGTCTTCCACTGAACGCTCCATGACTAGTCAAAATTCAAAATTTCCAAGATTCCTCCGGATTTCAAACGACTTACACGATTGCTCGGAACAAAAACAAAAGAATCAGGGCATGAACGACAAACCGATTCCCTTCTTTTTCCATCAATCAGTAGCAAAGACCATGTTTCAAAAAGTTCTTTCATTTTTGTTTCAAAATCGTGTCCTATCTTTATTCTACGGTGCATCGCACGAAATTTCCGCTCTGTAAAACGAAGAGATTGATATTAAGAACGAAAAAAAAACATTTAAAAAATCTTCATACAACTTCCGAATACCTTTCCAAGCTACAGTAATTTAATTTAATGAAATAAACATAGCTCGAGAGATGCGTCACTCTGAAGTTAGTCAATTCGGAAGTTCACATATATTTTCAAATCGTTAAAGTTCCATTTTTTGTATTTAAAAATAATGATAGAAAATTTCACATCACGCATTCCTGCTGAGATCCGAAAATACCAAACCAAAGATGGCACGTTACTGAAGCCTGAAAGAAGCAACAGAAACAGCCATGAGAAGGCTCATTACAGTAAAGTAATAAGAATTTGAGGATTTAGTAAAATGCGTCGGAAGCACATCCTTCAGTGCGGGAGTTTTAAAGTAAGTGCTAATGTAAGTGTCTCTACATCATACTTCTCGATCAAGTTCAATTAAGTTAGGGAATCGTTCGTTCAGCTACGCAAAAGTTGCGAATACAGGTAAATTAATCGAAATTTCAGCGATTAAAAGCATTCAGATCCTTTCGAGGCGGTGAGAATGTGAGACATATCCGGCGTACTGCGACCTATCCAATTCCTCTTTGATATATTCTTCATCTTCGGGGTGACCGGAAGGCTTTGCAAGTCATCCACTGCGGAAATAATAAAAATTACTCTAACAAAAATGAATAAAAAATTCAATGAATTACGTTACCATTCCGCGACATATCCTCAGTTCGTTTTTCAGGAGGCGAAAAACTGGCTTCACTGAAACAGCGGGCTGATTTCTTCTGGTTGTTATCCTTGAATGAAAAAAATTATACTGTAAAAAAGTAGAAGACCTTCTCTCACAATGTCCGATGCTGACACAGAGCGAGGAGAATGTTCAAAGAAAAATTACGCAGTAGAATCTCGTCACAACGACGCGTTTGGGACTTCGGAAAAAGCTTCGTTATATGCGAAAATTCGTTGAGGCGAAATTAAAAATAGCATTGCGGCTGTCGGATAGAAACCGAAAAAATACCATTTCGTTGGAAGCACTTCAGTCTTTATAAGGAGATTCGTTGTACAGTGTTCAGAACTCTGAAATGTTTTCTACGCGATACAGGATGAAAATTCTGAGCTTCAGGTCGAAGGTGAACCTCGAAAAGGGTCAGCATGCGGAATTTGATTTGACAGATCATTCTTCTAAATGTCGAATACCATTAATTTTTGCTTATGAGTTCATACCCAGAGAGAAAGACTCATTTTCGATGGCTCACCGGAAATACGAAAACATTCCCACAAGGAGGACCTCGAACCAACACAGGAGGGGGACTTCTGATGAGGTACGGATGAATCGCCTCTGAACCCAGGATAGCTTCTTCGTGGGATCTAACAGATGATACATCCATGCTCTGAAGAGCAAAGAAATGAATCCAGCAAAAGAAACATTTTTAACGTCGCAAACTCAGACTTCACTCAAAATTTTGCACTGAAATACTGTATAACCATACCCTAGGGCTCACTGCAAGACTTGCTGGCCGAGGACTCAATGCAGAAGTAGGACTCAGCTCGTCTGTTTCCCACGAATCATCATTCAAGAGATCCTGAAAATAGAGGAAGTCGATCAAAATCAAAGCCGATTTTTTCATCAGAATATTTTCAACAATTCGAACAGAAAAAACTCATAATCTTGAATTTGATTTTCCGTACCCTTACAACCGGATTGTCACATCTTGATTGACAAATCAACAAAAGATCCGCCGACAATCGTTGAAAATGATGCGGCGATCGCACTGTAATTTCGTTTTCCATAACTGATCCGGGAGTTCCTTTCAGAACAAATAAATAAATAGATATTAATTAAACACGGGGAAGAAAAAGAGTATCAAAAGGAAATAGAACTTTCGTACCTGATCTAGGATCCATCCACAAGCTCAGTCTCGATTGGAATTCAGTTCCAGACATTTCATCCCCTTGAACATGCACAAACGGACACGACTTGGCAGATTTCAGCCCATTTCCAGGAGCTAATGACTTCTCATGATTTTCCGCCATCTTCTCTGACCTATGCCTCCGAAATATGCCTCGAAACATTTTCTTCGGGTTGAAACTCAATCCTGACATCTTTAAATTATTTTAGCTTGCTTTGAAAAAAGTTTCACTAATGACTAGATCATCACTGCCAGTACATGCAACGAATCGCTGAAAAAAACAAGAGCCCAAATCCTCATGAAATAATTTTCGACGGACCAAATTCAGAATGATGAGAAAAACAACAAAATATTGAACAAACCTTTGAAAAAGATATTTTTCAGCCAAGATTTTTTTTCGAACATCGCAGAAAACCCAACGCTAGTTTTACAATACCAAAAACTTATTCAACGAAAAATTCAGAAGATGCGAGCACAAGCAATGCCTCCTACTACAACAAAATTTACAAAACGTCGAACTTCCTATCAATCATTATTCAATCAAAATCCAAATTTCTCCACGCAACAACGAATAGATTCGGAAAAACACTTTTCAACGGGGAATTAGACGCAATACACACACACACACACTTGAAGAAAACATCGCCCGGTAACTTCAACAAAATGGTATATCACACTCAAACGCGGGGAAATGCGAGGATCATCCAATATTACACCTCTTCAGAGCACAAATCACTGCGTTCCGAGGTTTTTGAAAATTTCACTTTGACCACTCTCATCAATTTGGACAAGTCACATCGGAGCGACAATTCCGGAGGGCTAATCACGTGCAACTTCTGATGATTCTGCAACACGTTTGGCTTTCCTCTATAATCGCAATGTTTGCACACGTAGTCTGCACCAGGTTTCGCCTCATTTGCCGAATGTCGCGCGGTGTGCTTTGCCAAAGAGAATTTATCCACAGTCGCATACGGACATCTGGCACAATGGTACATCGTCTTGATCCCGAGAAGCCCCTTCGGAGTTTGCGAATTCAGCAAGGAAGCCGGCCCATGCTCATTCATCCTGCACACTGTTAAACACGCCAACTGCGCAAAATACTTTTCATTCATGGTTCCATTGGCCCGATTGAGCAAATCGCTAATCTTTTTTCTTCGACTCGTTGAACATCCTTGCTTCTTTTCAGGACCGGCAACTGCTGTTCTTTTAGCTCCGCCATGACAAACCACGTGTTTGTCCAAAAAACGCGGATTCGGGCTGGAATAGTCGCAAAGTTTGCAGGGATAACGACCATTCGAACCGTGCCTCTGAGAATGCAAATCTAGTTTCAGTTTGTTCGTGAACACTGACGGACACTTGCTGCAACTGAACGTCTCAACCGCACTTTCAGCAACACTGCCTTTAACATTCGTAGAACACTTCTCAGTACCAGGGGATTCTCTGGGTTTCACTGGGGCACTTTTTTCCCACAAAGGAATTTCCCCACTGGATACAAAGAAATCACTTCTAGGACTCACTCCTTTCACACTTTTCAACGGGCACAATTTATCTTCTCGATTTTCAGTGGTTCCTGGAGGTTTCAAGCTGAGGAGTGCAGCAAGTTCACGGTGATATCGTGTTGGAGGATAGGCCGTCTTTCCAGAATATTCTTTCATGAAGTGAACAATCAGCTTCGCTTGCTCCTCCGAGTGCACCTTCACGTGCTGAATCAATTCCTCGGATTCGGAACAAGAGAAAGTGCACTTTTCGCATGCAAACTTTTCCCGTAGTTCATCATGGCATTTTAGGTGAGATTTCAATGATGCCGTACTCCGGAAGACATCGGGACAATGTTGACAGAAACTCACTTCACTCTTAATCAACTTCTTAACGGTTGAGGTCTCTTTTGTCTGATCAGAATATATCGCTTTGTTGGATTCCCCAACTTCCAATTTATCTTGCTCAATGTCGCAATCCGGGTTGATATCCAAAATAAGTTCGCAGGAACTTGCCAATTGCCCATGCTGGTTCGTCAAATGATGTAACTGTGTGTGGCGTTCAAATGAATCCCTTCGGTTGATTCGGAAATTGCATAAAGTACACTTGTAAGCACCGGGATGATCTTCATTGTGAAAGACTATATGGCGGGTAAACATACGAAGGAAGGAAGTTGAAAAGTCGCAATGCGGACATTGCAAGCTCTGCCGTTTATGCTTCTCTCTGTCCTGCTCAACGTCAAGAACTTCCTTTAGTTCGAATACCTGGAGGGGGCAAATGAAACGGATTTAAAGCTAAGAAATTCGTAACCCCGCAGCAAAAAAAGGTTATACCGATTCTTTGGAAGCGACATCCAATATTTCCAGCGAACCATCTTCGAGCCTTTCTGAAGCGTCATCTGGATCATCGGTATCCAAAATATCTGACATACGAGGCAAAGAAACGTGTCCGGCAAGAGAAACCCTGAGAAGAAATAGCAAATACAGTACTGTATAAGCTTCCCAACTTGATGCAAGAACTACCACACTTGAGGATGTCCGGAGTTCTTACCACGAAAATAAGATCGTGGAGAGGAATTTAAAAAAAAAAAAAAGGCCGGCAAGAACGAATTACAAAGAGACAAAATGCCATAGAGAAGAAACTGTCTTCAAAATTCGGAATCTTTAGTGATCATGAAAAATCTTGGAAATTTGGCAAATAAAATTACCTAGAACCCAAAAAGGGAATCGTCGTGCCGGCTTTCATCGCATTTGCTCCTTCCACGAACGCTTTTTCAACTCCAGATTCTGCCAAATTGCTGATGTTCGCGGCGAATTCGTGATTTTCGTCAAGACCTTCGCGAATGGCAGGACAATGCCGATTTTGCGCAGAATCCCGATCTACAAAAGCAAGCAGCGTTATTTTCCCATGAAAGTAAACCCAAAATTATGAGTTCGAAGCACACTACGTGATATGAACACCACGAAAAAAATTACTGTACAAGTGAAACGTTCCAATGCAAAAACACTCCAAGAACATAAAATTGAAGACATGATTTTCATCACTGAATTGTGAGCATCAGGTTTATGAAGCACGACCCTTGATCACTTTTCAAGTGCTCAAGGCCTTGATTAAGTACACTAAACACATTTTCAGAGCTTTCCAAATTTTAATGACCTCATATGAATTTTAACCTTGCCCATCTTGCAAAAGTGCGCCTTTTCCAAGAAACTTCCGATCGAGAGCAGGCTGAGGTCAGAAACTATCGCCAATAAGAAAAATATAAGTGAACCTGAGACTCATACATGTACAATTTCAAATGAAACATAACTTGAGGAAGCACTTAGAGCCAAAAGCGGAAGAAGAATTTCAGCATTCATTGACAATATGAAATAAGAAGACACTAACAGAAAATTTGAAAAGAAGCTCGTGAGTTTAGGTCAGAAATGAATATGAATCATATCTTACCGGAGGAACCTTCGGCAGAGTTCCGCAAAAAATCATGGACACCGTTGGTTCCTGTCTCAGCACCGGTTTCCTCACTTATTCTGCGACCACGATACCCATGATGTCTTTTCAAGTGCTGCTGAATCAGTCGTTTACGGCGAACACGAAAGCTGCAAAGGTCACATTTGTGTTTGCCACTCGAACTAGACTTGTGATACTCCACATGTGGTTTCCATCGATGAGCAGAGTCCGTGGAGAACAAGCAATCTTCGCAGTTGAACATCCTAAGATTCCTCCTTCGACTCTGTCTTTTTGTCGGCTTCGTATATGATATTTTCTCTGGCACCTTCAAGAAGAAAAAGAAAGGTTGTCAACAAGAAAAAAAAAATCATTATTGTTCGGAACCCGACCGTTCCCAGTATTTGTCATAAACAGGACCAATTTTTCCTGACGCATCAAAGAATCCCGTGAGCCTAAATGAAGTTTCATCCGTATTCGTGTGCCTCGCGTCCAACGACATGAATGAAGTGCTCATTTTATGCATGAACTCCAGCAGGAGTCGAAATGCTGGCAAAAATCAGCGGGACTTTTTTCCCAGTCATCTCTACTTTTTCCCAGAAGTTTCCAACAGAATGAAGCCACAGGAATCCTATTTTATTCAGAATACCCAAATCTATCACTGCATTCCTCAACAATACGAAACCTGCCATAGACAAGAAAAATAAATGTACCTCATCCAAGTTATTTTTGATGGAAGATGATGATAAAAAACATGAATTTCATAAAATTATTCATACAAAGACATAATATTCACTGATGTAATCTCGAAACTTAATCTCAATGAACACCACTGAAAAGCTCCAAGGAAATTCTCGGATAAATTAAAGTGGTTCTCACGAAACAAAATCAGCGTTTCGTTTCATTAGTGACATTCGACAAATTTTTTTGCGGATAGATTCTAGACTGAATCAGGTTCATTCAAAAGGGTAGTGATCTGCATCAAATATCGTGTAGGAAAAATGAAAGATGTTAAAACATAGGACATTTCGTCATGGTAACAAAGCATACATGTCAGAATTATTTTAACTGTGCAATGACAAACTTATAAGCCAACCGCAAGGAAACATAGAATGATTCATGCGATGGAATGAAATTTTGCAGAGGAATCCATTCTTCAAGTTTCATATCTTTACATTCGAAAACAACTTTCTCTGCTAAAAATAACGAGATAGGCCCAAAAAACTTGCTTCTCAGAAAAAAGTTACCATACTCGAATTCGCGATCAAGACGTGTCAAGGAGGCTCGAATCATGCAACAAAATGGGCAAAGCAGATGTGTTTTTTCTTCATTTTAAATGTGGGAAAATATGTCTGAGTAGAGTTTTGCTGGAACATTAAATAGGGACGAATTCGTCAGCTCATTTAAAAAAAACTCATGCATACAACAGCAAGTATGTAAAAAAATGTTGTTTCTGTATATCTTTGACTGATATTATGAACAATTGACCAGTTTCCACAACATTGCAAAACAATGAGATCTTGCATTGCAAAAATATTTATTTGAAAAATTTGAAGGCAGAAAAGAATATTTGTTCTCCCGCGAAATAACCACACGTATAAAAGGCCACAAAACTAAATCATTCCATTTCTAACTTCTTGTGATCACACTTAAGCTCAATACGTTGATATTTGCTAAGTACTAAAGCTGCTTCGCAGAAAGAAAAAAAAAACCTCAACACTACTGTATAGCCGGATTCTCTTTCGAAGTACTGTGTATTCGCGAAGGTGAACGCGAAAAAAAACGTTATCTTCTTCAAATTTATCACGAAGAACACTAATGCATAATAATTCGGATTCGCTCACTAATGAACTTACCAAAAGAGATTTCGCTGGATTCTCGAATTTATTCGTCAGCCCCTCAACAAAGGCAGTTGAATTCGCCAGTTTCGTCGAAGTTTCGTCATCTTGGCATTCCTCCGCTTGCAGGTCATCGTCAGAAACTTCAATAATCGAGATTTCTCGAGAAGCGAAGTCCTGTTCACGAGATTCCTTGTGATCAACTCCATTGTGTACCAATGGACTTGAATCACACAGATCCTGCAATAGATCTTCCTCAGTGTTGCAGCTAAAAAAAAAGAGCGAGTACATTTTTGAATAAAATAAATTTCTGCGTGACGAATTGATCACTGCTTCTGAGATATTAATACAGTACGTTGCAATGTTTTAGAAGCCAACTCCGTTCAATAACGCAAGAAAACGGGAACCCCTTAAAATTAGAAGTAAACCATTGTAACACACCTATAAAACATGTAAACCTTTCTCAAGATATTCAACACATCGCACAAGTTTAGCAAGTGAAGTACTGCACTGTATATTCACCTCTGCTTTTGAATGTCGCTATGGTGATTTTGGGTAACACTGTCCTCGAAGAGCTCTCCCATAACCAAATTTCCAAGTAGGGGTGATTCTTCAATGGTATCCTCCGATAAGTACTTATTCCCGTTCACACTGATCTTTTTCGCGTCTGTGGATTTCTGCGGGAACAGTTCTCTGAGGACACCCAAGTTGAAGGGCTCAATTTCATTAGTTCTAGTGCCCTGCTTTTCCAGCTCATCTTCACGCATAGATTTCGAGCTTCCTGGACCAGGAACCAGACATCGAAGTCCGTTGGACGGTTTCCCCAACAATGACAAGGCTATGGAGTTTGACGAGGCATTCAGACCAATTCGCGAAGGAATTTGGCTCGTTGACGTCATTTCGTCCAATGGTATCGATGACGAATACAAATGCAAATATCTTTGGACGTCGGGGAGATCTTGTACCCCATTGTACCTCTGCACTTTCGCTCCTCTATGCGCTGGATCGCTCTCACTAAGGTTCAAAATGTGCCTCTGCATCCAGATACAATCATTTGACCGATATTTGCAAGCTTCGCATCCAAAAGGCAAGGCAGCGAAGTGCTCATGCAAATGGGACTCGAAATTTGACTTCGAAGAAGTTCTGAATACGCATCTGTTGCAGGAATAGCATTTCAGTATCTCCTGATTAAAATGACCATGTCCAGTGCCTAGGATAGTTTCGAAGTGACCGGTTTGGTCTCCATTTTCTCCATCGCAACCCTCCATAATGTCCTCAATACGCCTACGCTTATTCCCGATTATCTTCGCAACTGAGCTTTCACAACCAACATCGTTCGTTAGTACATCCGTTTCCAGAGACATTTTCACTTCAACACCTATGGTTGGAATGCCGAACACAGTAAGATCCGACATGTCACACGGGGTTCCAGAGGACACAAAAATCAATAATACTATATGAAAACCTCAACACATGAATTCTAATACTGTACTTCACAAAATGCATCCCAATCGTATCGTAAACAAAAAATTCTTGGAAAAAACGCATTTGCTCACTTGATATGACCGACAATGACTCAAGAAATAGAAAAGCAGCCCGAGTTTTCGGAACAAGTTTGCTGTCAATAGGGTGCGCCCCTTATCCCGGAGAATATGGCAATTCTCCTTGCAAAGCATAAAATATTTGCCAAAGTTCAAACATTTTGCTTTCTTTTAAATGAAATTTATGAGTAGGACGTGGGACATGGCAGTAAAATTGATCCCGTTGGTTAGGCCTTGATCCACGCAACCGGAGAGAGGGTACAAAATGATATTCGCGCTAAGTTCGCTTCCTGCTGCCATTCCGATGTTTACAGTCAAAGTGATTTCAGAAGGGGATTTCTCATTATCCCCGTTAAAATGACGAGTCAGTGGAGAGAATTAAAATTCTTTGAAGAGGCTTCTATATTCAAGAAAGCATTTTCGAGGCACCGTAACTCATGACAGGGCAGACGACATTTTCTCGTAATCCAACCAACTGAAGCTTCGACCAGATCCCTCCCAGGACGAAAAAGTACCTCTTGCCAGTAAATTTTACACCAAATTTCTTTCAGCAAACTATGAAACAGCTTTAAAATATAAGAAGTTCTTCGCACATTATTTGATTCAAGGTCATCCGTGGAAAAATTCGCGAAGATATTTGCGTATTGTAAATTTAGCATGGTTAGCCATTTATCAATGTCAGTGATATCTACTAATCTCATTAAATTGTGACAAATAAATTAGCACAAAAGTTAGGAAAAGCGTAACGCTTTTACGCGCATAATATGCACAACATTTTCATGGGCAGCAATTTCAAAATGGACGCCCTATAGGACACACCTAGAAGTCCAGTTCAAGGCAAACGTTAAGATTACAAGAATCTCATCACTTTTTAATCCTGAACAGCACACGAACTCATCGAAGTGAGCTCGAATAGTCCGCGACTGTCTCTTACGACCATGCGCAAGACGGCAGACATGACGAGTCATACTTTTGCAGGGTCGTTTATTATGATGTACTTCAGCTCAACCATGATCCTTCCCAATCGAAACAATTCGTGAAAACGAAACGTGTGCATAATACCATTCATCAAAGAGCATGATTAGGAGAGACGAATACATTAATATTATGCTCCAGAAACAACTGCACCTTATATTTCTTCACACGTACATTACAATAAGAAATTGAACTCCGGCTGACGCAGAAGCATGTTGAGCAGCAGCAATCCAACACAACGAAATGAGAATATCACACATGACTGTAATCACAACGTTAATCGATTTCTGGGCTTAATGACAGCGGAAGCAATTATCTGCACAAATCAACAATAAAATCGTAATGAATTTGGATAAAGCACAGTCAACACGTGTTAATCGTCAAGCTAAAAACATTATGTCACACGCCAGGAACTGACGTTTATACTGTTCTTCAAGATTCGTGCAGCTTGAATGACGAAGACATTAGTAAACTGCTCTGTCCTTCTCTGTACATTTACGAGAAGGGTGGGAGATAGAAAGACAGCAAGAGAGGGAAGATCGGCTTCTCATGAGCGAACAAGGTCAGCTTTCCATTCGATTTTGAAAAAATAAATTAATAAAATATTTTTTGACGATTTGAAACTTTACTCCGGAGTAAATTACATTTGTTCATGCAGGGCACTTCGGCCATACAGTAGTGCAATATATTAGATGGAACTGATCCGACAAAGTTGAGATTTCTCCTCCGCACCGTTTCAAACACCTCATGGAATGCAACTGTGCTTCTACGAACACATCTTTTGCTTAAATTTACCCAAGTAATGTATTGCAAACTATGGCATCGCATCTGAAAAAGTCCATGTCGGCCTATTCTGATCAGTGTCCTCAGAAGCTGGCAGAGGAGTAGGACATTGCGGTTCGTTTCCATATCAAGGCGACATGGTGACAAACGAAGGAGGCAAAACGGAAATACAGTAAATTATCGATAGCAACATTAGTTAGTTTTCACATTCGGATAACGGATGAAGAGAGTTGGGAAAAAAGGCCGACTCCAGCTAAAACAAACGACACTCAACAGCAAAAAGAAACAATAGCCTTTGCACTTTCACACTACAGAAGCATGACTGGGTCATAGCAGAATTGTAAAACCGCAGAGATTTGACCTGGGAGGCACGATTGTGAATGCAATCTACTGTATCACAATAGCTAAGAATCTTGCCTTACTTTTTTACGCGGTGAATCCGCCTCCTTCAAGGTAATCGCCATGTTCAACGTCGTGGCATTAGTACCAATCATTCTTGTCAGTTATCCAGAAATTTTCTTATTTGTCGACTTTTATTATATTATCACAAAAACTTCCTAATGGTTTCAAATATTCGATTGAAAAATAGCAAGGATAAACTTAAATGCTTTGAAAGATTCTACATAGATTGCTCAGTCAGTTCAGGGCAAGTCTCCATCTGTCAGCATTGGATCTCCACGGTTTCAGCCAGTCACTTTACCAGAATCTGGTCAACCCCACAAAATTCGGGAGTTAGGTATGGTGAGTGAGGAAGTAGAAGGGTCACAGGAGAGTTGCTAGCCAAACGGATGTTGTGAAGCATTCAGGGAAATATATGCCGAGTTCTACAAAACTTAGCAATTATGTTCATTTATTGCGATGCTGTGCATGATGCTTAGAAGTTTCAGTGAGACAGGACGTGATTTTGAGTTCGAAGCCACGACCCACTTCGCCTTCAACTGCTGTGCAGTTTTTCAATCATGTGTGGCGGGTTCATGTGTTCAAGAATTGTGTGGCGGCGCCGTGAAGCATCGATTCGTCATTATTCCAAAATTAATGATTCGTGACAGACATTCAAGATTAAGATATTTGATTAAAATGTGGCTAAGGAAACCTTGTCATACGAAGTGTCCCCTGGATCAGGTTTACTAATTCAAGCTATGAAATCATGAACTTACTGCGTCTCAGTAAAAGCTGTTCCGCTTCATTTTTCCCCCTGATGCGTCGAACCGTGACGAAGTATGGAAATGGAAGTGTGTCAATTTTATTATTCCTAGCTAAATTACTTCCGTATTCTACTTTTCCAGGATAATGACAACGATGTTGTGGACCGTGTTCTGTTTTATTTTTCCCGGTGCATTGTCATACGCCTGCATGGATGAGGACGGCCAAGCTGTTGACTGGTATTCCGATCTTCTTTTTTAATCATTCAACACTCATACATAATATCCACAAAATGTTTCAAAGGTGGGTTGCTTACAAGCTACCAAAATTGAAAACATTGGCAGATGACAACGTTCAGGATGGTCATGCTTATGCATATTTCACCGCGAAGGATGTGTCTTACAACTGGGGACTGGACAAACCAGGATATGTTGCACGACCTCCGAAGAATGGCTGCATGTTGTCTTCCAAATCAATAGGAGATTTTGAGAGTTTAATTGGTCGAACATTGGAGCCGCTGTATTCGAATGCTTCAAAATCTCAGTTTGCTCTCCTGTACAACGACGAATTCCCAAATGGTACAGTGAGCTTCACAAAGGGTCACACAAAAGGAGCTGTTGTGATGGATGATCATGGTTCTGGATTTTGGCTGATACATAGTGTTCCGCACTTCCCTCCAAAGCCAGAAGATGGGTTCGGGTATCCAGCTTCTGGCAGAACCTATGGTCAAACTTTGTTTTGTGTATCTTTTGCCGGTGGGGAATCCCCGGAAACAATTGGTAGGTAGTAAGTTTGTGTCATCATTCCTCGGTCAAACACGGAAATTTACTTTTCAGGAAAGCAATTGACTGTCAATGAGCCGTTCATCTATTTCAAGGATATCCCAGCGTGGGTGCAATTGCGGTTTCCTTCCATGTTTGAGGCTGCGGGAGGAAAGAAAACCATGAGTGCAGGACCAGCCAGTCAAATTTTGGAGCTTTTCACAAGTTCTGGGATGTCAATGACTAGCTTTGCCAAATCAAATTTATTTAATCAGGGTAAGGGCGAAGGTATTGGTGTTTTTCGTCAACATTTTTGTTTATTTTTTAATCGCTTTGAAGATTTGTATTCGGAGCTGGTTGCGCCAGCTTTGAGATCTGAGTTGATTGCTGAGACTTGGCGTCATGGTGAAGGTCTTCTACAGAGCAATTGCAGTACAATATTCAAGTGAGCCAAATATTGCCTGATACAAGTTTCGTTGTCATTACTTTTCAAGTGTGCAATTTTAGAGTTTTGAACGCGGAAAACTTGCTCTTCCAAAATATCAATGTTGGATTCAGCTCTGAAAAAGACCACGCGAAGTGGGCAATTTCTTCAGATTCATCAAATCCCTGGGTTTGTGTCGGAGACATAAATCGATCAGTAAGTCGTATTTGATATATAATTCTATATTTTTATACGGAAGGTGTTCTGAGACAAATTTGTCGACAGAAAACCCAGTTTTTGCGAGCTGGTGGAACCCTGTGTTTCAGGGAAAGAATCGTCTGGCTGTGGTTTGATGCCATTTTATCTGGTATTGAGGATTGCCCGGTGTAAGGAAACATACTTCTGTGGACTTCATGAACAAAGAATCTCGAGTGATGATCTCATGCAAGTTTTTGTTACAATATTTGAAGTGTTTTTGAAGCAACGTTTTGTTCTCCCTTATGTATTTGTACACGTGATTGTCGTCTGACAAACTTGCCTTGTGTTCCTGTCAAGTTCGAAAAATTTTAGTCCATGTTGTGTGTGAGTTAAAAACTCGTGATGCTTCAGCCTTTCCGATTGAAGAAAAGATCAACAAAACCTTGGACAAAATGCTTTCATGAGTTTGATGATCCGTTGAAGTTGATCAAGAACTATTTGATGCAATTTTGGATTTAGATTTTCATCATTGTTATTTTTTCTATAGTTATTGTATGTATTTTGTATCGCCATCATTTCTGTCACATGGATGTTTAATACAAAAAAGTTTTGGCTGCTCCATGTTTCTTCGAAGATGACATTGATGGAAGTGTGCCTCAGAACTCTTGATGGGTTGCGCGGGAAAGTCTGGAAGTTGGTTGACAAGGCGTTGGGCAGAAATGTATCCACGCTCAAGAGGACATTTTCCTCGATGTCTTTGGCCTCTTCTCAGAATCTAACCATTCCGAGTCCCCAAAAGCAAATTCATTTTGAAATCGAGCAGCGTCCGCAAAAACGTTATAGTGGCTGAGAGTGCCTCCGAAGCACTGGGAAATTTGCATTTTGAAAACGATAGTCAGGATAAAACTGTGATCTGCTCTGATGGACTTCACGAGAAGCAGCTAGAGTGCAAAGTTTTGAATTCACTGAACGTGGTTCCGATCTCCGAAGAAGTGTATGGGCATTGTTTAGCAAAGGAAAGTTTATTTGGATAACTCACAATAAGCAGTGACTCAAGAAGCGATTCCTCAGAGAACTTGAGAGGACAGGGGAGACCCGATCACTTTCATTCGTGAAAGCACACTTCTGTAGCTGCTTTCCTTCAGCAAACCATTTCGCATGCGTCGCTTGAGCTGAACTCTGACATTTGGTCATCTGCTGTTAGCGAAACTGCGGATAATCCTGAACTATGTGATATATGAACATGAAAACTTTGGAGCATAATTTTTTTTTCCACAATCAGTGGTGTATTTGGATATGATTTGGAAGATTTGAAATTCGGTTTCTCTTTCATTTGAAAGATGAACGATTAGCAGCTGGCCCTTGAGATCCAGACATGAAAGGTGCTTGGACCTTGTCCCTGTGTCAGAATGTCAACATGTGCTATCAGATCTCTGTAGGACAAGCAATTCAGATTGTCCACATGCAGTATCAGATTTTCTCATGAAGAAACCAATTCAATTGGTTGTCTTGTTTATTAAAGACTAATGCTCAAAAATTTATTTCTGAAATTCAAGGTACCTAATAACTGTTTAGAAGAAAGCCACAGAGGATCCCTGGCATGCACAGGAGCTCAAAAATCAAAGAACAAGCAGAAGTCTTTCTACATTGTACCTTGCACTTATGAGCAAAAATTGAAAGAAGAACATAAGCCTGTTCTGGAATATGGACAGTTATAGGAGGGTTGGTTCATGAAAGATGATAAACTGGCACTTGCCCTTTGTTGGAGGTGGATGCAATTATTTCTTTGCTCTTCAATTCTTCCTTGGTGTCTAATAAATGTTTCATTGACTAACAATAAGCTAAAGAAGGAAACAGGAAAATACCTGGATCACACTGAATCCCCTCCTCTCAAGTGAAATTTACCACATAACCTCCAAAGTCGTGCAGCATCCAAGTGCGCATTCTGCTCATCTTGATCAATCGAACTTCACTTCAGTGGAGGGAATTCATGGTGGTCCAGCTTTTGATCTTGTTTCCTTGTGTAGCAGAGTATTCAATAACAAATGTATCAGACACCAATGAAGAATTGTAAGAGCATAATGAAAAATGGCATTCAACTCCAACAACACCTTAATAAGTGGCCGTTCATCATCTTTTGTGAACCAACCCTCATTGTATTTATGTTGAAATTCTTACATATGTAACCATGTACGGTATAATAAAAAGTATTTTTAACTTCTGTGAAAGTAAGTACTGTACTGCACTGATGTATATAGCTGAATTGTGGAATAGAATATATAATAATGAACAATTTTTGAATACCGGTTTTCTGGATATTTTGGCATTGAATGCATCTTAATTGATCCTCTGAATGTTGACACAGATTTTTGATTCCAAGTGTTCCCAAGTCAAATTGTGCGGATGTTGTTTGAGGTGTCTCTGTATCCTGAGGTTCCACTTTACTCGTATGACAATATTGTACTGTAAAATTATTCATTCTGGTTCTCAAAATTGGGAAGTAAAAGATTGTTACAGAGATCTCACGGAAGCAGCAATGAGATTACAGTATTGTCAGGTCCAGAAGGATAAAGCATAATGCATATTAGACAGTCCAATAATATTATTGATGAAATCGACGTCGGGAGTTAACCTAATGATGTTGATAGGGAAATCCGGCAATTCATTCCTGTTGGCGTGACATCTGGACAGATGTAATAAAACAACGTAATTGAAACATTCAATGGATGTCACGACAACTCTCGATCAAAGGGTACATCCCATAAAAACTGAAAATGAAACAAAATCCCCGTCATTTTGAATGGTTCCATGAATGAAAATTGGAACAATTTTTATCAGTCAATGCACATATGACATTTGGACAAGGAAAGGTGCCTGTGCCAAACAGGCTAAAATTATGGAAGCTTAAAAATACAATCAAACAAGCCTCCTGCATGTGTATATGTCCTAACCTGGAATCATGCATAAGGGCTATGTATGTTTTAAAAACCTCGTATAGTGAGGCTGAAAAACTGCAAACTTTTCTGCAACATCCACCCTTGCAAATCTGTGCAGGAATTGCTTAGAAAAACTTGAAGTACACAAAAAGTGCTAATAATATGTTGACCTGTTATTCAGATTACATGTTTGATATTAACATTTGAAATTTTCTGGAGATCACAATTTTTCAAGCACTGACAAAAATCCAAAAAGACCACAGAAGGAAGGTGTTGTATATACTGTACATTATGCAGGTTCAAGTTTAAAATATATCCCCATCAGCCAATAATTTGGAAAGTCTCATTCAAGCAAATTTTTCATTATGATAACAAACTCTTTCTGAAGTCCACCTGAGTTTGATGTAATGAGCTTTTCCTGTAATGACAGAGCAGGAAACTGGGTCAGCATGCGGATATGCGAATTATCCACGCTGCAATGCGGAAATGAAGATGGGCAAAAACTGGAAGAAGAAGTGTCAGGCATGGAATTCGGTTGTGTTTAAAAGCTGGTGGCGCAGCATATGGCATCAAGCAGGCGCATCACGTGTTCATAATGGAGGCTGCATGCGCCCTCACACAATCCGTCCATTAGATAAGCCCGGACCAAGCTGGACAATGAAAACCGCCTTGCCAGTGTGCAGCAAGAGTCAGGAGGTCACATAATACTGAGGGTTGGTTCAGAAGTTTTGAAGATTTTTTGAAACTTCAAATATATATACAGTACTGTACAGTGAGACCCCCACATGCGGACGCCTTGACCTGCAGACAATTCAACTTAGGGACACTATCTTTCAAATTAAAATTGACCCAACCTGCGGACACTGACTCAACCTGCGGACATTTAAATTGTCAGAAAATCGAATTTTTCAAGCCAAATTACTAGGAACAATTATTAAGAACCATAGGATGGTAAGATCTATGTAACAAAAATTGCTTTAAAATTCTGTCATCATTTTCCCTTTATTTAGCTAATTTTAAAAATCATCTCAAGCATAGATATTCTCAAGAAAGAAGGGATTTTCCTCTCTCGTTTTGTCTAATTTTATTTTTACAGGAAATACTAACATCTCAATGTTCAATAGTGTAAAGAGGTACAGCATTTTCATTTGGATATTTTTTCCATGTATGTTCCTCTGTTGAAAACTGTTGAAAAAACATTATTCTCAACTTTTTGCTTGACAAAAAGCAAAGTGTGTTATAGGTTCATTTCAAGAAGGCTAGATAAAAAAAATAGTGGAAAATGTCCTCTAAGAAGACAAAAACATGGGGAATAATCAGGAATATGCCAAATGTGGAACTAAAAAAAAATCCTTAAAGATGCCCCAGCTGGAGAAGAAAAGAAGAGGACAGTTGCTGAATTGATGGATCTTAACATTTGGCAGTAGCACAGAAATTGTTCATTTTGTGAATTTTTTTTGTCCCCAATGCTCCAAATTTTATTCATGAGTTGAAAAACACTTATTTAATAATATTTTCATCAGTAGAATTTTTTCCTAAATTTTAAAAAGGAGTTTTGATTAAGAGTTCTTTCAGAAAACAGGAATTAAAAATTATATAATGCAAGTCTATGGGAAAACAAGACTCAACTTAGGGATGCTCTTGATACACCAATTATGTCTGCATCTCGGGGTCTCACTATATATATATTTTTTTTTCTTGCATAGCTAACATCATTTGGGAACACTTTAGTGCTGTTCAACATACTCTCCACCAATTTCAATGCATCTTCTCATGCACTAAATCCAACATTTGAAACAGTATGGTGAATCAAGTTCTATTAGTTGATTAAGTTGCTTTTTGATGGGGGAAATGATGTAGTGTCTATTCTGAAAATCAATCTTTTCTAGGTTGTTCTTCGCAGCTGGAAACAGCTATGGAAGTCAGGGAAGGGAAGAACGTATATGTATTTACATCAGTTGTGCAATTGTACATTTTTGGACGTATTTTCTTTTCTTTTAATATCCATATAAAGGTGGTAACTTGCAATTATGCCCAAATCCATTGCCAAAGTATGGTCAGATTGCAAATCAGTCAAATTGCAAGGTTATCTTTTAAATTCAAAAATATAAGTACAAAATGGGAAAAAGTGGCCAAAGGAGGTTGAATTGCAATGCAATGGTCAAATGGCAAGTCAATGCACTGGACCATTTGACTGTCAAATTGCAGGATGGTCAAATTGCAAGGTACCACCAGTACAGCTTATTTCTCTATTTTCCATTCAGATGTGATGGAATGTGTTTGGATGAATGTGGGTGGAGGGGGGGGGGGGTGGGGGGTTTTTGTTCCAAAAGCCCCCCTGGGTCAAAAGCCCCCTCTGAAAGCCTCCTAGGTCAAAAGCACCCCTACCAGAAGCTCCCCTTGGGGAAAAAATTGTGGATCACAGGTATTCTTGTAACTCTTGATAGTAAGCTGCCCCTTTCACCAGGAGGCTCAGCACAAGGCCAAGTACCAATATGTTTGTATAAGTTGAGTATATAGAGGGATTCTTTACCTGCAGTGGTCATCAGTGATTCTTTGAATGTCAGTGCATCATCACTTGCTGACTTCTGCAAAATCTGAGAAAACAATACAAAGAGCATCAGTGACAGTGAGGAAGCAGAATGCAATTTTGAAGATGATTACTAAAAAGTCCTTTTGTGGAGTAATGAAACCAAACAGCCCTTCTCAGGTGCCACCAAAGACTGTTATGAAACTTGCATCCAATTAAAAAAAGTGGGGACAGGGGTCTTTTGGCTGGGGGGGGGGGGGGGCTTTTGGTTGGGTAACATGTGAGGAGGGGATGGGGTATGGATTTTGGAATGCTGCTTGAGCCTTGTAAATGCTGAAGAATGGAAATTAAAGCTTGCTGCTCAGTTAAATTCAGATATAGAAGTCACAGGGTGCCTAATCAACGAGCAGAACTCAATTTTTGGCACTCTTCTGATCTTTGGATTTATTGCATGAAAAAAATTGATTGGAATAGGCAGAGAGTATGTTGAACAGCCCTGAACTGCTGCCAAATGATGGGCCCATGCAAATGAATAAAATTTTGGAATTGTTCAAATTATGTTGGAACT